GGGTTTGTACTCGGCTGTAAAGGCTTCGTTATACACCTTTCTGGCTTCTAGGGCCCAATCTTAGGTGTTACAACATCATATATTGAGACACAGTGGGGTGTATAGTATGGACTCGGATTTCGACAAAGCTTTAGATGGTGTTAGTGTTGTGATTCCATATTTTTACCTTAGAAATTTTACTAGTAAGGGCACCGTCCCTCCTAAAGCACAACATGTTTCGGGGAGTGGCTTTTTTAGTAAAATTGTTAAGGACGTTGTAATACGGTGAGAGAGCTGACTTTTTTGGTTTTATCCAAATGTGCGGATAGCTAGAGTCACGACCGACTTTTCTTTTATCCAACAATTAGGAAAGGTGAAAAGAAAAGGAAAGACCTTTGATAGATTTTGAGTTCGGGGGGTATGTTATGAAAAGGGAAGGTGTTAACACCCTTTCCATACGTAGTTATCTACATGTTATTAATTGCTTAGCTCACTTTTTGAAACTTGCTTTGTGTGTTTGATTTGTTTGAAAATATTTTGAAATTCCAATGTAAGACTAACTTTGTAATAATTCTTGTATCAGTCCTCAAGAATGTATACAAAGTGTTTTTGAAGATATTTGTTTGATGTGTAAAAATGTATTGTTTTGTGAAAAAAGTTTTAAGCAAGCAACTATGATTCTCACCCACTAATAAGGTTTTTCTTGTTATTTTCCTTCTCTTTTAGAGATAGTACTATCCATACCATTAGTTGGTAGGTAATCCTATATATTGGATGTGAAGGGACAGGCGTATGGTCATCGTATGGTCATCGAAGGAAACATATAAGGATACTTTAGCAATTATATAGAAGGGACTATCATCATTTTGCTTGTAGGTTCATCAAAGGGACTAGATTATTTTGTAGGAAACTCGAAGGGTCATCGATGGATTATGATCTTTATTTGAAAGGGACTACGATGATTTTATCAAGGGTCTTTTGCTAAAGTATCCCCACTTTCGAGAGACATGACCAATATTCGTACGGAAACAAGAGAGGTTACCCTATAGGTGCAAGTTTGAAGAGTGTGTTAATTTAGTTATTAAATCTTGGGAATTAGGCTTTTCTAGATTCACTTTTAATCTTGTCATGCAAACCCTAGTTACTAACAGTTAAATATGTACAAAAAAGTAAATTGTGGAATATGAAGTCCTACGCTATTACATGGCTTTAGGGAAGTTACATAAGTATAGAAAATACGGGAAAGTAAATCTACGCTATTACATCCTCGAAGTAGATACATAATAAGAAAGACGCGAGAATGTAAATCTAAGTTATTACATTGATAGTGAGACCTATACATTTGTTCTATGAATTTAAATAGCAAGAGATGAGAAAAAAAGTGTTAAAAAATGTTAAAATGTTTTGTGTTTTTTGTAAAAAAATAATTTAAGTGATAATAGTAATTAAACCTAAATTCTAACTTAGTTTAATATTAAGAAGAGCTAATTAATTAATTAATTAATTAGTAAATAAAAAAATATCAAAAAATATAATTACTAATTAAAAACCCTAATCCTAATTTGTTAAAGTGTTGAAAAAAATTAGGTTTATTAATGGTTAATTAAAAAAGGAATTAATTAAGAAAAAGAAAGAAAATTAGGGTTAGTAGAAAATAAATAAAAAAACAGTTGTATGGGGTGGGTGTTGAACCCACGCCCCTCCCTTCACAGGATGCGTTTCCTTCCACTAGGCTACTGTGTTAATTGTGTTATGGAAATAGGAATCAGTCAACATATTGTAAACCTGCGCGTTAGTTTGGTAAAAACAAAATAATTTTGTGAAAAGTTGGGATCTAACCCATGCTCTCATGCAATACCAGCGCATCACTCACCACTACGCCATCTGTGTTTTTGTATTATAAAACACAAACAAATCAATATATAATAAAATGTTAGATCAGAGAAGCGCCTGAGCCCTAGCTCCAATCGTCTTCTTCGGTGAGTCAATAATTCAACCTGCAAAAACAGCAAGAGTTAGATCATAATAAGTTCCTTATCCCTCTAATTTGATCCTTGAGAATCCAATTGAATTATTGGTTTATCCTGAAAATGCCTGTGGAGTGAGTTTCAAATAAAATACTCCAAACTACCCTAACAATGGCATTTTTTTATTTCTGCGTCAAAGCTTGCAAACGATGTGTCAAAATCATTCCAAACATCAATATGAACATGGATGTATACATCAAATCATTCAAAAATTCATATATTAAAATTTTGAAATTCAAGAAGTTTACCAAACCGGTGATGCTTGGTTGCAGTGATCTCAGATGCTTCAAGCTTGACTGATGGGTGGGATGAACTCCTAGGATCTTCAGGAGAATGATAGAATGCTTGGAATGGATTATAGAGGCTTCACACAAGGGTTTGAGTTTTCCCTAGTTCTTGACAAATTTGAGATTTTTAGGGTGTGTTCTTGAGGCAATTTTTTATGTCCCTTGATGTCTGAATGTGTGGTCTATTTATAATGCTTGGATTAGGTCAACAAAAGTGAGATAAATCTTTTGTATTTCATGATCAAATCTTTGATTGGAATTTTGCATGAAAACTTTATTTTTTAAGTTCAATCATGTTCCAATCATCTCTACACGTTTTTTCTAGCTGGTCATGAGCTTTTTGGGCCTCCAATTTGATCAGAGCAAAAGCCTACACACCTTGATCCATTATCTTTATATCTTATTTGATTTATTTTGAATTTAATTGAATAAAATCAAAATCAAAATAAATAAAAATCACAAAAATGTATGAATGTATTTAGAGGTCTAATATGAGGTCATGAACACGTTTGAACCTAAAAACTTAGGCCCATTATCCCAAAAATTCAACTTTGCTCAATTTAGGTTTCATGCATTTTCTCAAAATTTCCTAACTTGCACCAATCATATCTCACTCAATTTCTGTCATATGAAGATGATCTTTGAATTTTTGGAAACCTCAAGGTGTCTCCTACAACCTTCATGTTGGTTATTTTTTTCATTTTGAACCTTTATCTTGATGTAAATTTCTTTGACAAAAAAATGTCTTTTTGTTGACTTTTAAAAATGACCTGTAATATTTTGGTTCATATCTCTCAAATGAAGCATTTTTGGCCTTGATTTTAGATAGAATAGGTTGTAGAGAATTGAATTTCCTTCAAGATGGGCTTTGGTTGAGGAATTTTTGATGAAGTATGTGAAAGTTGTGCTTGGTCAAAGTTCAGTTGACTTCTCCTAAAGAAAACCCTAATTTAGTAACTTTTGACTTTTGATGAATCTTGAGTTTTCTTGATGAATCATAATCAAACCTTGATAAAATGATGAATGTGACTTCAAAATATTGATGTTGACCAGAAATCTTGAAGTTTGACTATAAATTGGTCAAAATTGACCTTTTGTCCAATATAGTTGATTTTCAATCATCTGACTAATTGATTGAGAAAATTTGTATTGCAAGGCTTGAAATTTGGTATGAAGATACTTTGAGACATATAAGAAATAATGAAGTGCACTTGAGACATTATGAACTCAATTTCCTTTGAGAAAAGCAAAACCCTAATTGTAGGTCATTTGCTTAGGAGGAGAGTTTGTCTAGTCAACCCTTGAGTAGTCTTGAGTGTTTGTGACCTTCATGTGCATGAAGAGGTATCTTGAATTAATTTGTCTTGAAAATGAGAGGGAAAATTTTGGGGTACAACGGATGTGGATGTGAATTTTGACATGACCACGAGACAAAAATCAGTTTTTGGTTCTTTACAAGTCGCACATGCTCAGGACTTTCTCCTTGCTATTCCTATTGATGGGATATGCCAACATATGTCACCGGTGAAGTATCATACTATCCTAACATACCGACTTATGATTCCTTTATGTCCTATTGGTGAGGTTTTCCCTGTATGTAGTAAGGCATGCTTGGATACATTTCGGGAACACTTGATTCATTGTAGGGAGCTTCCAGGCTTCAAATACTGACATGGCCTTGTTAGGGATGTCTTGTTTGATATATTACAATGTGTCGGAGTATCTGTGAAGAAAGAGGGGCCTATGAATTTTTTGACTGGTCCACTTGAGGAGAGATTGACACTTAGGCCAACAAACGTTTTGGTGTACGGGTGGGAAGGAGGGAAACATGCTTGTATGGACTTGACGGGAGTTTCTCCACTGATGGGTTTGAGGGATGGTGGTTTTAATATGGAATAAGTAGTTCTCAGAGCTGCTTCTAGTAAAGTGGTCAAACATGAGAAAACATGTTCTGAAAATCAACATGTTTTTATACAATTTGCCTTTAACACTTTTGGTTTCCTAGCACCAGAAGCAATTGATCTTTTACATAGAGTTTAAAGGCTTATGAGTAGCAATGTTGTATCTCCTAGGTCTACATATGTAGTTTTTAAGAGGATTGGTTTTATGATCCAAAAAGGAATAACAACGGAGCTTGTTGTCCGCTTGCCTTCTATTTCTGTATTGACCTGATTTTTCATGATTATGATAAAATGAATCCTTATGAAAAAATATTATGTTTTAACTCTTCTCGATCGAGAACTTGATTCATGATTTATGGAATTATTCATCGCGACAAAGAAGGGTCGTTGATTGCCATTGATGATTCACCACTTCAACCACATGAAAACCAAGCTTGAGTTGTTCATGTATTGAGCTTAGTGTTTTTATTGTTCTTTCTGGCTTATTGGGCTGCTTAAAATCTACAGGGCAATCTCAACACTGTTAGCTTCTTCTTATGATGAAAAATTACAAAACTCTTAGAATTGACACAATCAAACTAATTTAACATAGTCACACAGTTTTACTTTCCAATATAATATCACACATACCACATACAGTATATAATCCCAAGAGAAATTAAATTTGTTTTACATTTATAACTTAATAATATCCTAGTATATATTTAGAATAATAAACCTAAAAATTTAGAATAAGAAACCTAAATTTCGAATAAGAAACCTAAAAATTGTAACATTCTAAAACTGCATATTATCAATTTCACATATCACTCAACAACTCTTTCATTATTTTGGAGCATCTCAACCACCTGACTCATATTAGGCCTAATATCCATATCTTCCTCTACACATTCCAAAGCAACTCTAACCAAAATCTCCATCTTACTTAAATCACAACTAGTCCCAATTGATGGATCCAAAATTTCTTCCACCCAACATTGACTCCTCTTTTTCTCTCTCACCCAACTTATCAAACTTCCATTGTATGTCATTTCTCCATCCTCTCCTTCTATATTCATCAATGTTGGATTCTTTCCAGTTATCAACTCCAACACAACAATCCCATAACTATAAACATCTACTTTAGATGTTATTGGTAAATGGAAAATCCATTCAGGGGCCATGTATCCTCTTGTGCCTCTAATCATTGAGAATGTTGAGTTATTATTGAGATCGTTTCTATTTTTCAGCTTAGACAATCCAAAATCTGCTAACTTGGGCTGAAAGTTAGAATCAAGAAGTATGTTTTGTGGCTTTATATCACAATGTAAAATCCACTCCAAACATTCTTCATGTAGATATGCTAAAACTCTAGATATTCCTAAAGCGATATCATACCTTTTACTCCAATCAAGTGTGTTGGTTTTAGATGAAAGATTTTCAGCTAAAGAGCCATTTTCCATGTACTCATATACCAAAATTCTATGCTTACCTTCAATACAATATCCCCACATTTCAATCAAGTTCATGTGATTAAGCCTTCCGATGATGCTTACCTCGGCTTGAAACTCTCCTTCTCCTTGTTTAGCTTCATTCAATCTCTTTATTGCAACATCTCTTTGATCTGGCAATGTACCTCTATAGACAACCCCTCCTCCACCTCTTCCAATCTCGTTACTAAAATTCTTTGTAGCTACCTTCAACTCATAGTAACTATACCTTCTAAATCCCAATATTGCATGATGATAACTATTTTGATTTGCACTAGACTTTTTTTTGGTTTTATTTAAACAAACCCCAACTACAATAAAGAAAACAAATTCTAAACCACCAACTGCAATTGAAATCCACAAAAAAAACCTCACCAAATTATCTGTTGGCTTTGTGAAATAGTGTTTAGAAAGCTGCACCAAACAAATGTGATCTTTTACACTCACAGACTCTTGTTTTGAGAAGTTCTTGCCTTTTGGAAGTCTCAAGTAAGTTGTTCCTGGAAAACTTGGTGAATGCCTACCATTCAACAATTGTAGCTTTGTATAGCATTCAAAGATGTTACTGTCATCTTTATATGTGTATTGGAATCCTGTACAGTTACATTGTTGTAAACATAAACTTTCACAACCTTTGTAGGTAATATTCTGAACAAAATTACCATCGTAGCCATAAAGCTCAAAACCTTGTAATTTTAAAAAGGTAGACTCACTTCTGTTACATGTAAAATCAAACATAGGTTCACAACCATAAGACCAATCATTATAGTTCTTCAATTTATATCCTGGCAAACAAGAGCATTTCTTACCCTTTTTAGGATCATAGCTACAAGTGCTATTTGCACCACAAATTCCATGAATGATGCAAGTATTAGATATTACTTGCCATGAAACATACCAATTTTCTGACAAGTTTCTTCGACTGTAAACTCGAATATTACCATCAGAATCTATGGTTAATCTTCTTTGCAAAAGAGTTCCATAATCATATGTGGAGAAAATGTAATTATCTGATGAAATGAACTTTCCAAGAGAATCTAACAAAGCAATTCTACTACTATTGTAATTTGACCTTCCAGCATCCCAACTTGACATCCAAGTTGGTGGCCAATATGTGCTTGAAACATCAGGACCATCATAATCGAGTCGAATAACATTGTTATCATCAAAGAATAACTTATAGAAGCCAGAAGAATAATTACTATAGCTTCTAGAAGAAATAAGTTTAGTGTATCTAGTGAGAGGTTGATTTGGAAGGAGAGTATTTGTTGGGAAATCATAGCTTTGCCACAATATGGTAGTTCCTTTAAGCTCACGTAACACAAGATTACCATCTTCTTTGAGATACAACTCTAATGGATCATTTGAAGCTGTGTTTGAAGACCAAGTGTTGAGTTGACCTGCATCAAGCAAGAGGATGTTTCCTGTGTTTAAGAGGTAAAGCTTTGAGTGTTTACCTGTTGAAAATTAGAGGAGATAAAACTAGATAGTTAGAATAATAATACTATTTTACTATTAATATAAGAGAAAAAGAAAAAAAGAATCACCTTTATTGAGACTAATAAAAACATAATAATTTGACTAAGTTTTTTTTTATAGTTTTCTTGAAATAAATTTCTTTTGAAGATGAAAAAACAATTATAATTGATTGTTCAATATAGAAAAAATGAGAGAGAAAGTAAATTAAATATAAATTGTATTTAATTTTATCTTGAAAAAGATCAGTTTGATTTTTCTCTCTTATATTTTAGGACAAGAAAATGCATTTTTTTCTTATATTTTGAGAAGTAAGGAGTACTTAACAATTAGAGGAGGTGGAAATTCAGCAAAAAGGAAGGAAATAATGGACTTAATTCATGCAAGGAAAGTGAATATTTGTATGTTACAAGAAACGAAGATACAAAGCTTGGAGAAATCAACTGCGAAATCCTTTTGGGGTAGCAATGAGGTTTATGTGGAGTGTTAAAAATGCTATATGTAAATCTGGAAGTATTATTATCATGTAGAACCCTAAGTTGTTTGATACTCTGTTAAGCAATTTGATGGGGAAGGCTTTGTAGGTATTCAATTGTTATAGAATGGATCGCTGAATTATGTTGTTAATTTCTATTCATCATGCTTTATTCAAAGTAGAAGAAGGTTATGGTCTGAGCTTATTAAATTAAAATCCTCTTTTTCTCAAGAAGAATGGTGCCTTGGAGTAAACTTTAATGCAATATAGAGGTATAGTAGTTTAAGATCCCATATTATTATTCTGAATTGGCTTACTTTCCTAATTTCATTGGAGATATGGATTTGGTGGACCTCCCGACTATTGGTAACAAATTTTTGTGGTTCAAGTTAACTTGTGACTCGACTAGAGGACTAGATTGTTTTTTGGTTTCTGAAGGTTTGATTGACCTGTGAGGTCAAGGGGAAACACATTAGAAATAGAGGTATCTGTGATTATTGTCTGATTTCAATTAAATTCATTGAATTAAATTGGGGGCCTAAGCCCTTTAAGTTCTTTTCGGCTTGGATTGAACATCCTAATTTCTTTTTGGTTTGGTCTTCTGCTAGCAATCAAGGGAGAAATTATTTGTTTTAAAGAGAAACCAAAACTCCTTAAGGTAAGGCCGACAAAATAAACATGTGAAGTTTTTGGAAAGCTTGATCTTCAGGTTCATGAAGCAATCAAAAACCTTAACTCATTGGATAGCTTAATGGTTAACGATGATGATTTTTTAGCTCTAAGATCTATGAAAGAAGGTGCTGGAATCAATCTTTGGTTTAGGAAAAATTGCATGTTTTAGAATCCATGGTTATACAAAAATCAAGGTGTCAATGGTTTAAGGAAGGGGACCAAAACTCGAAATTCTCACTCTTTTATGAAAATTATATTTCTTCGCAATGACATTGTGGGCCTTAAAATATTATGATTGAAGATATTGGAGGTATAAAGAAGTTGGTGTTTAATCACTTTAAAGATCGTTTTCATGAGGCTTTTTCTAACATGCCAAATCTAGATGGTGTCCCTTTCAATGAAATTTCTTATGAAGATAAAATTAGTCTTCGGGTTCCCTTTTCCTTGTGAGATATTAAATATGTCATATGGAATGCTGCTGGAGGAAATAACCCGAGTCTAGACGATTTTTCCATGGAATTTAACAGAGTCGGATGGGATAAATGAACTTCTTATGAAAGATAATCTTCCTAAGGCCATGTCATAAAATTTCATTTCTATAATTCCAAAGAATCATAATCCTTAAGGTTTGAATGATTATCACCATATTTTCCTGATTGGAAGCATCTACAAGATTAACTCAAAGTTGTTGGTGGAGAGATTGAATGGGGTCTTAAAGAAGCTAGTTTCTATGAATCATCCAGCATTTATCCCTAAGAGATGTTTTCATGACGAGGTCTTAGTACTCAACGAGGTAGTTTACTATGCAAGATGAAATAAGAAAGGTCTTTTTCTTTTTAAACGGGATTTTGAAAAAGAATTTTACTCAATCTCGAGGGATTACTTAATGTATGTTCTTCAAAGGATGAATTTTGTTGGTAAGTGGATAAATTGGACCAGGGCGTTCATGTGCTCAAGTTATCTTTCTATTTAGATTAATGATAGTCCCAGAAATAAAATTCCAAATGAAGAGAGGGCTTTGACAAGAAGATCGGCTCTCTCTTTTTCTCTTTATTTGGGTTGCTTAAGGGATTTCAGACCTAATGAGAAATGTGCGCTCTAGTAATTGATCTCAACCTTTCTCATTGTTTGATTATATTCATTTGGATCTTCTCCAATTCGCAGATGACACAATTATCTTGGGAGAACCTTTGGTCAATCTAAGCTATGTTGGGTGGGTTCAAACTTTCGTCAGGTTTGTCTGTGAACTTTCACAAAAGTAGAAACATTGGGTTTAATGTCAATATGGGTTTCTAGAAGTCTGCTTCAAATTTTCTGTTTGTGCTATTATCCCATTTCCATTTACCTTTCTCGGCATTTCTATTGACTTCAATCCTAGAAGGAGGTCCTCGTGGAAACTGATTCATTTGAAGTTGCGAAACATATTATCTTCTTGGAAAGGAAAAGTTGTTTCTTTAAGAGGTAGAGTAACCTTGCTTAACTGATTTTTTAATATTATTCCTATATTTTCCTTCTCTTTTCCTTCTCTTTCTACCAAGCTCATATGGAGATCATAAAAATTCGTCAAGCCTTCTTGTGTAATGGTGAGAAAAACTATAAAAGGGATCAACTTGGTGGCTTAGTCCATAATTTATAATACTAAATTTGATGGGATTCTTTGGGTTAAGCTTCACGAATTACTCAATCAAGCACTTTTAAGTAAATGGGATTGGAAGATTTTATCAGAGGGAGATTCTCTTTAGCAAAATGTTTTTCTCTCAAATTTGGCGACATTAATGCCTTCACTCTTGATCCTTCCCTTCTTTTCAACAAGTCAAAATCTTCTCTATGGTGGAAGACTTTATAAATTTCATTAGGGACATGGGGTAAAGAGGGAAATTGGTTCGGGAAATGCTTTGTGTGTAAAGCTGGTAGAGAAACATGCATATATTTCTGGAGGGATGGCTGGATTGGGGTTGATTCTCTTTGTTGTCAATTTCCTATCTCGTGTGATAATTTTTAGGGACCTCGACTGAAAAATAACGAGTCTGGATATTGGCACAATGGAGTTTGAGTTTGGATTTTCAGTGGCTTACACAATGTAAAGTTAACTGATCCTTCAAGGCATAATCTGAAAATTCTTCTCATTATTCTGAATGATGTTTCTCCCATTCAAGATTCACTGGAAAAATTCGCGTGGTGGTGTGATCCCAATGGGTTCTCATCAAATCTACCTTCTCAAGATTGAGCTCCCGAGTTATTTTTGATTTTCAGGCTGATGTTCATTTCAAGCCAGCCTTAAAATGCATTTGGAAAGCGAATGTTCCTAGTAACATTCTAGTTTTTGTTTGGAGGCTTTTCATTAATAGGCTTCAAACTAGAGATGTGATTGTAAAGCGAGGAGTTATCTCAGGAGTGCATAACCTTGTGCGCCCATAGTGCTTTGGTCTAAAGAATCACATTGTCACTTGTTTCTTTAGTGTGGTATTGATTTAGAGTGTGTTCTTCTATTTTTGATTCAATTGGTTTTAGTAAGTCTATAGCCTCGACTCTGATATCATTGTTTATTTGTTGTCCTTTGATGTTGCCTTGTGTGGAAGATAAATAAAAAAGTCTAGAATTCTCATTTGATTAGCTATAGTTAGAGTTTTTTTTTATAAGAAATGATATTTTGTTTACTGGTAGAAAGAAAAGGTTCCATGAAATTGTATTGGTGGCGGAATCGTTATTCTCATATTGATTTGGAGCTAGATTTAAGGGTCGATTTCTTTATACTAAATAGATTGGATGATAAGTCCTTTAGGGTGCTTCAGTTAGCTCTAGTTTTTTTCCTTCTTTTTTGTATTGGGGATGCGTACTCTTTATACTAGCGTTGATGCTATTTTATTGCTTATAAAAAATCAAGTGCATAAATAAAGGACTAAAAAGAAATGAAGGTATGTGCTGTCTCTCTAGGTCACATGACTATTTTTATAAGTCAAATTATTTCTTTTTATAATACTTTCAAAGTAAATAAGAAGTTTTAAATATATTTTTAATTCTTATTAAATTTAAATTTCATTTCATTTCCTCTAAAAAAATTTGGCTTTTAGTTTCCACAATATTTTTTCGTTAACAATTTAGTCTTTATCAAAATCAAATTAAAATGAAAATTTACAAAAAAAACTCACAATTTGTTTTTCAAATATTGATTTCTCTTACTTTGGTTTTTAATTCATTATTATGTATGTTTTTAAATATGATATTTTATTTTGTATTTTTTTTTTGAATAAATTGAGATATCATGTGTGCAACTAAAAAATATATTTGTTACATAATTTCTAAAACATATTTACTAATAAATATTTATTATATTAAAACAAATATGTAAAGAAATTAAATATTTAATAAATTTTATCTTAATGTTAGTTAATATTTTCAAAAATAATATATGTTATATTTATTTAACGAATAAATAGTATTTACATTAACTAAAGAAATTTAATCTTAAAAAAATTGTAAAGAAATTAAACTATTCCAAATAATAGTAATTTTTCATTTGAGTATAATTGATATTAGTATAATATTGAATAAAGTTTAAAAAAATGTATAACATAAATTTTTAATGTTTTATATCGGTCCGAGAAAATTTGGAGATCCTTCCAAGATTCTTGAATCTTCTAATTCAGAAAGCAGAGGGAAAGATTGTATCTCAAATAGTTCATTCTCTTTATGTCACTCCTTGGCGGACTCAGAAGTTAATCGGTGTAATAGGAGATTGGTGGATAATGGGAAATCAGAAGTGGGGAAGAAGTTGTGGGATTCGATAACAAGGTTGGGGGTTTCAAGTCGGGTGGACAGAGAAGGGTGTATAAA